GGGGGTGGGATTAGATGATCTTTAAGGGCCATTATTCCAACTCCTTTACATTCTGTGAACATGGGCAAGTGTGCCTTGATGAAGGGAAGGAAAAGCCCCTGCCAACCGAGCAAACCGACACCCTTTGAAAGGGTGAAAAGACACCACCGACACCCTTTCTGACCTCGTGGCTGACCCTCTTACGAGCAGAGGGGTTAACAGACACCGCCCGAGCTCACATTCAAAGCACGCTATCCCGATCTGACCATCCAATAGCGACTGTCACATCCAGGATTGGGGAGGGTCTCCAGAGGCTGCCCACGGCGGCCCCGCGCTGCCCTGGGCCCGGGCAGCACGGCCCCTCCCGCCCGGCGCAGCTCGGCGGGGCCGCGGGGCGGGGCCGGGCCGCGCAAGCTGTTCCGGGCCGCCGGGCAGCCATGGCGGATGAGGAGGAAGACGCGCCGGTGAGTGCCGGAGGGGCTGCCCTTCCTTCCCGGGCATCCACAGCCCGGCCGCCCTTCCCGGGCATCCACAGCCCGGCCGCGGGCGGGGGCGCGGCGCGAAGGGGCCGGGGCCAGACGGGCGCTGACCGCGGCCTCCCCTCGCTGTGCCCGTGTAGTTCGAGGAGGATGCGGAGGACGCCGGCGGGAGCCTGGACGGCGGGCAGGGCAGGAGGAAGAGGCTGTTCTCCAAAGAGCGTGAGTCGGGCCGGGCCACTCAGCTGAAACCCCAAGCTGACAGCCGTAGGGTCCCAAAACTCACTTCTCCTTAGCAAAACAGCGGCTTTCGTAATGTTCCTTGGCTGCAATTGCAGAAATCTGCCATGTAGACCCCCTCAAAAATATTGCTAGTGCATCCTCTGAACCTAGCTGTGCCCAAAGTCAGCTGCACTGTCACTGTGCAGTGCTTTGCAGCCTGAATGAATATTCAGAGAGCTTGTCCTCCGACACGCTTTTCTGTATGTACAGCTCCTATCCCTACAGGCCTTTTGTTGGCTTCTGTTTATTTCCTTTATGTTTCCTCAAGAGTTGTCGTGCCTGACAGACGAGTGCCGTCCTGGTGCAGGAATGTGCAGGCTGGTGAGCTCGAACTAGATGTGTGCAGCACTGACTGGATGAAAGAAGCCTCATGCTGAGTGTTTCTTTGTGCAGTAAGGTGCATGATGTATGGATTTGGGGACGACCAGAACCCTTACACAGAATCAGTGGACATTCTTGAGGACCTGGTAATAGAATTTATCACTGAAATGGTAAGTCAGCTCTAGATGGCACGGTCAAAACATCCTCACCAGAACTTTAGCTTTCTGAAGCTAAATATCTCTGACTCAAATACTGCATTATCCCAGGCCCCAACTCATGGCATTAGTAGGATAAACTTGGATTTTGTTTTTCCAAGATTAAAGCAAAATTTATGCATCTTGCTCCATGTGAATTTAGAATGCTGAAGTCTTTAAGTAGCAGTTAACTATTGTAGGAGGGGAAATACCCACCTTTGGGGTTCACTGCGGCGTAACTGCTGACAGAAGGCTCAGATTTGAAAGTCTGTCAACTTTTTGTGTTTGCCCAGTGTCTGTACATGGATGGGAACTTAGTTCTGTCCTACAAAAGAAATGCGTTCTTGGGCCGGAGGCCATTTCTCTTCTAGACCTGGACACCCTTTCTAAGTACACGAACATTCCCCTTTCTTTTGAAAGGCTGGTATTTCCTATCCTTATCAAAATACCCTACACTGTCCTCTGATATGGTTACCTTATATTGCTTCCAAGTTGTGCCTAAACTTCAGCCATTCTGCAGGCTAGGTGTCCTATGTGTAATCTGGCCTTAGTTTTGATACCATTATGTGATGTATATATAGTGATTACGTTTGGGGTGTGACAGACAGCTGGGGACAGCAGCGTAAGTCCATGGTTTACTGGGAAGCTCTCTTGTGACTAGGATGATGGTGCCCAGAACCTGCAAGTGCTTGCTTTTTTATTATAGAATGACAGGAAATAAAGTGGAACTGAGAGTTTAAAAACGTGGCAAAGGAATGCTGCTGACTATTTTTTTCCTCTCTAACAGACACACAAGGCCATGTCCATTGGGCGGCAGGGTCGGGTACAGGTTGAGGACATTGTCTTTCTAATACGCAAGGACCCCCGGAAGTTTGCCAGAGTTAAAGACCTCCTAACTATGAATGAAGAACTGAAACGAGCCAGAAAGGCTTTTGATGAAGCAAACTATGGGTCTTGATTCTGTACACAAGCTGCACTGGGGCATTATTTGGGCACCTGCTGCCCAGTAAGAAGGAAGATTGTGCATGTAGTTTGGAACGATTTTTCAGGATGGAGATCACTGCTGGGATGTTTGCCCTCACTCCCAGCCTTTGCTGAGAAGTATTCAAGCAGCTGAAATGTTACCTGATTGTATGTGGTATACTTAGGTCTTTTTATACCATTTGATGAAATGAAAAAAAGAGCTCTAAAAATTCCTGCAATAGCAGGAGTCTGTTTGAAGTAGGCCTATGTTGAATCAGATGGCTCAAGGTCTAATGGTTCATGACTCTCTAAAATTGTTTCAGCTGTGACTGGGTATTCTTGTGACAGGAAACCCTGAAAATGGATCTTGGTTATCTGTATAAAGACCTTAGGCCCAAACTAGTATCAAAGTTGTGCTCTTTGCTCTGTATATGCTTTTTGAATAAAACATAAATTTGTGCCCACATTT